CATCATGTGCTTTCTGATATACTGTAATGAAAAAAACCCATAAAGCCCAGGTACAGTGGCTCCTATCTGGAATTCCAGGTACTTGGGAGGCAGCATTGGGAGGATCATAGTTCAAGGCTAGCTGAGGCAAAAAGACTCCATTTCAACCAATTAGCAGCTGGGTATATCATCCCAGCTGGGATGAGGACAGCCCCAGGAAAAAAGGGAGACCCTACCTGAAAAAGAATCTAAAGCAAAAAAGGTTAGAGGTATATATCACTCAAATGTTTTAAAAGTACATGCTAGATGAGTAAAGACAGGAAGAGGGGGAGAATGCAGTCATAAAATTCAATGCATATTCTACAAAATTGATGCATTTTTCATAAACTGCTTTGCTGATTAGCAATGCCTTTGTATATTACTTAAATTTTTAAAAAGTTCATGCTAGTAAGCATGCATGCTCAAACCCCAGTATTACTAAAAAAGAAAACAAAGCACACAGAATGAACTCATATTGTTCCAGATAAAGATGTATACATAAATCATGAGAAAACATCAACCAAAGTGGCTCTAAGTCATGCAATGATCTGATTTCCAGACACACACTCATTTTGTCATTTTCTTCCAAGCTATTCCCTTTACTGCAACACTGTTTTAGCTTTCTGCCCAATATATTCCCAATCACAATACTGTTGAATCATTCCTCCAGGAAACCAACACTGTATTAGGTGATCTTGCATAACATTTCCACAGCACTCAACATAAGTGTGTGTATGTGTTGGTCGTGGGGCTTGAACTCATGGTCTGGGTCCCTGAGCTCTTTAACTAAAGGCTTGTGCTCTACCACTTTGAGCCACAGTGCCACTTCCCCAAACCATGTATTTACACTGTATTCAAACTACCTTCTCCAAGTAAACTGTAATTCTGTAGTTATATAAGCTGTCTTCTTACACTCCCCCACCTCCCCACTTTGTGTATACAGCCTGGCAAACAGCAGGATTTCAATAATGGTAGAAAGAAGGAGAGAAAGGAGACCCAACTAATCTGATGTCCCTGACCTGGAATTCTATGCTTAATTCCTGAATGACTTTCACAACTGCAAAATGTGACCACAGCGGGGATAAAAGCATAATATTATTAATATAAAATATATAAATATAACATATTATTAATATATATCATATATAAATATATAATTAATATAAATTCACCCTTTATAAAAAATCATTTGTAGTCTGATGACTGAATATGAAGGCCACTATCAGTATTATTATAGATTCTTGATACTAAGTAAAATAATTATAACCATACTAATGAACAAAACAAAACTGTATCAAAAGATAAAGAATTATCATAATCATTTTTTATCTATTTTAAGAATTCTCAACTATACACATATTCTTTCCAAAGTAGATGGTGGAAGATTAACAGTAACTACCCCTCTTCCCTCCCCCAACTAAATACACACCTTTTAGAGAAACCTATCATTCACTTAGCTGGAGGAAGAATTTCCAAGGTATAGCTACACTAAACAACCTAGTATTCAGCTTCTGTTGCTGACAGGATCTGTACATTATGGTAGTAAAAGAAAATCCAGTGTCTTAAATTGGTCCAAAAAGCAGATCAAGAAAATGTTGTATGAACAGGCATTATAAAACAATTGATAATAAAATAATTATTTTAACAAGGCTTAAAATTACAAAGTTGCAGATAAGAGGGAAATGAGGGTTAAGGAAAGAATCCAAACTATTTCACTGAGACAGAGATTTTTTTAAGGAGAATCAGGAATTAAAAAATGAAAACAGGCTAGAAAATAGGATGCTGGTGGCTCATAGCTATAATCCTAGCTACTCAGGAAGCTGAAATCTGAAGATTGAGGTTAAAAGCCAGCCCAGGCAGACAAATTCAAGAGACTCTTAACTCCAATTACCCAGCAAAAAGCTGGAAGTGAGGGGCTGGGAAGTTGGCTCAGTGGTAGAGCGCTTGCCTTGCATGCCTGAGGCCCTGGGTTCGATTCCTCAGCACCACATAAACAAAAAAGAAAAAAGCCGGAAGTGGTGCTGTGGCTCAAGTGGTAGAGTGCTAGCCTTGAGCTGAAGAGCTGAGGGACAGCGCCCAGGCCCAGAGTTTAGGCCCCACGACCGGACCCAAAAACAAAACAAACAAACAAAAAAGCTGGAAGTGAAGGTGTGACTCAAGTGGTAGAGACAGTTATGAGTCAAAAAGCCAAAGGACTTTGTATTCATAAACTATTAGTGAGTGACAACTCCTTTGTACAATTACTTAAAGATAATAAAATTATTATTTTTTTAAAGCCAAGGGAGCCAGGCACTGGTAGTTCATACCTATAATCCTAGTCAGGAGGCTGGGATCTGAGGATCACAGTTCAAAGCCAGCCTAGACAGGGAAGTTCACGAGACTCTCATATCCAATTAACCACCCAAAAATGGAAAATGGGGCTGTGACTCCAGGTGGGAGAGTGCTAACCTTGAGCAAAAAAGCTCACAAACAGTACCCATGTCCTCAGTTCAAGCCCCACAAACACAAAAACAGAAAACAGCCAAGGGAGAGCACAAGGCCTTGGAGTTCAAGCTACAGCTATGGTACTGGCACCAAACAAACAAAAGAACTAGGCTAGAAGTGGAAGGGGGTAGAACAAAACAAAACAATCCAATGAGGTGGTGAAGTGAAGTAAGAGTCTACAATTAGGAAAATGGGGATTAGACCCATGTTCTGGGAACAATGAGTAAAATCACCTTGGTTGAGAGGTATCTGAGTAGTGAGAGTTCTGAATGTGACTACAGGAACTGGGGATACTAAGTGGGTGAGCACCCACCCACAGGTGGGTTCTATCACTAGTAGCAGAGAAAAAGAAAAAAGTAAGTAGACTATACTCAAGGCCGAATGAGGTATAAATGATTCCCAAAGAAAGGTACATTGTGTGGTAGAGTAGAACTGTGGGAAGATTAACTAGGGCCCTTAACTAGCAAGGGGCTGACCCTGTGAGATTAAAAGCAGAGAAAGCAACTTAACTAACAAAAATGCTATAAAACTCTAGAATCTAGCCAGGCACTAGTAGCTCATGTCTGTAATCTCAGGGAGCTGAGATCTGAGGATCACTGCTCTAAGCCTGCCTAGGCAGGAAAGTCTGTGAGGCTGTTATGTCAAATTACCAAAAAAACAGAAATGGAGCTGTGGTATGAGTCATATGGACTTTTCTGCTGAGTTGGTTTTGAATCTCGAACCTAAGATCTTAGCCTATTGAGTAGCTAGGATTACAAGCATGAGCCACCAGTGCCTGGCTTCCCTTGAGTTTTTATTACAAATAAAAACCTAACAAATAAAGCAAAATAAAATGCTTTTATGTTCCAGAAAAACCATATATTAACACTAAAATGTCTACACAATATATATATATTTTTTTGGGTCCGGTCGTGGGGCCTGAACTCTGGGCCTGAGCGCTGTCCCTCAGCTCTTCAGCTCAAGGCTAGTGCTCTACCACTTGAGCCACAGCGCCACTTCCGGGTTTTTTCTTTTTGCTTATGTGGTGCTGAGGAATTGAACCCAGGGCCTCAGGCATGCAAGGCAAGCGCTCTACCACTGAGCCCACTTCCCAGCCACTACACAATATTTTGTAAGTAGTCTTTCAAATTGTAAAAAGTTGATATGTGTAAATTCCCTACCAATTAAGGAACTTGATGTGTACATTTCCCAGATGATTTTTTTTTTTTGCTTAGTACATTGGGTCCATTAAATATTAGGCTTTATAATCATGTAATATTCCTTAGAGTGGATGATATCTGGAAGTTATCAACTGCTTATTTTGGTGCTAGTACTGGGGCTTGAATTCAGGGCCTTGTCTCACTTGAGTTTTTTGTTTTTGCTTAAAGCTGATGCTCTACCCCTTGAGCCACAGCTCTACTTTGGGCTTTTTGCTGCTTAATTGGAGATAAAAGTCTCACAGACTTTTCTGTTTGGGCTGGTGGGCTAGCTTTGGACCATGTTCTTCACATCTCAGTGAGTCTGAGTAGCTAAGATTACAGGGGTATGAGTCAGTAATGCCTGGTGAACTGCTTAAGTTTTTAAAAAAATATTGTTATTATGCAGGTGATATATTGAGTGCTTATAGTTACAGAAGTCAGGTAATGAGTACATTTCTTCTTGGATAATGTCACTCCTTCCTTTGTTCTCTCATAGCAAACCTCTTAATTTTTACAGATTGATTTTCATTACTAACAACAACAACAACAAAATATCTGGTAGTAGGCCAACTCGACCAAACTATCCAAAGTGAATGCCAACTTTTAAAGGTTAACAGGTGTGTGTGTGTGTGTGTTGTGGGATATAAGACGAACGTACCTGCAGATCATAAACCCACCTTTTTTTGGGGGGGGGGGCGGAGTCAGTCCTGGAGCTTGAACTCGGGGGACAGGGCATTGCCGTTGAGCTTCCTCCCGGCCCCTCAAGACTAGCGCTCCAACACTAGAGTCACACTTCCACCTCCGGCTTTTTTTTTTTTTTTTTGGTGGTTAATTTAAGAGTTAAAGAGTCTCACGACTTTCCTAGCCCGGCTGGCTCTGAACCCCAATCTTTCAGATCTCAGTGCCCTGAGTAGCTAGGATGACAGGCTGGAGCCCCGGGGGGGGGAGGGGGGGCGGGGCTCCGGGTACAAACCCACTTCTCTAACCAGGTGGGAAGCAGCGCTTGCAGCAGCCAGAGATGCTTAAAAAAAAAAAAAGACAGCACAACTCAACTCACAGGGGTGCATCCCGCCCCCCCCCCCCCCCCCCCCCCCGCTCCCCTCCGCCCCCGGCCCAGGCCTGACCTGCCTGTCACCAGCCTCAGACGCCCGGGGTGTGACGCCGGAAGGGGAGGGAGGGGCCCGAGGTCCGCAGGGGGAAAGCCCCGCCCCCCAGCGGGCCAGCGCCGGCCCGAGGGGAGGGAGGGCGGGACCCCTCCCGCCAGGGGCGTCGGAGGAGGGCGGAGCCTGGTGGGCCGGCGGGGAGGGCCGAGCCCCCTACCTGTGCGAACGCGGGGAGGCTGCCCTCGCGCGCCGCCACGCTCACGCGGCCGTGATGCCAGGCCGCTCCGGCCCCTGCCAGGGCCATTCCAGCCACAGCCGCTGCCAAAGTGCCCCGGTTCGGCACGCCGCGTCGACCCGCCGCGAGCCCGCGCCGCAGCCTGGGGCCCCAGGCCACGAGCCAAGAGGTCTGCCTCGCAGCCGCCGCCATGTTTGCGGAAGTGCTGTGGCGCCGCGCCCCGCCCCCTACCGCTCAGGATGTGGGCACGCCCCCTGCGGCCCAGCTCTCGCGAGATGTGGGCGTGCGTGCGGGCCGGGCTGCCTAGGCGAGGCTCTCCCGGGTGGAAAGGGCCACCTATGGCAGTGAGAGTGAAGTCCTTCGTGTGTCAGGTCGCACGATCTTCCCTTATTTAAGGAAGGCCAGAGAGGGGTCCTACAGGGTAAGAAGCTCTGCAGTGTTGGACTACAGGTGCATAATAGATGATCCAAGGAGCTCCCATTAAGTAGACCAATTAGTAGTTGACTTTTGTGTATTTGAGTCTTGGCACCTTTGATCGACTTAAGGGAAAGTATGTCATTTCATGGTCAAAGCAGGAACCTGGTGCTTGGTGGGTAGTGTGGGAACTGGGAGGGAGAGCCACCTTTGACAGGCAGAGTGTTAATTCCAATCAAGGATGAGAACCATCCTGGTATGGAATCCCAATCATTGAATTGGGGCGGGGGGGGGGGGGGCGGGTAGGACTGGAAAATTCTGTTTTCCACAATTCTGTATCTGCCCTAATTTCCACAAGCCTGTCTAGATTAAGCCTTTAACAAGATAACACTTACACATATCTATTTATCTATATCATGCTATTCAGAAGTTTATGTAAATAATCTCTAGATGGTTTTTCACCAACCATTTTATTTATTTATTTATTTATTTATTTATTTTTGGGTCCGGTCGTGGGGCCTGAACTCTGGGCCTGGGCACTGTCCCTCAGCTCTTCAGCTCAAGGCTAGCGCTCTATCACTTGAGCCACAGCGCCAATTCTGGCTTTTTTCTTTTTGCTTATGTGGTGCTGAGGAATCGAACCCAGGGCCTCTGGCATGCAAGGCATGCGCTCTACCACTGAGCCACCTTCCCAGCCCTGGACCAACCATTTAAAATAACAATCAAGTTGCCTTGCCGATGTTAATGTTAAACTATCCTTATTAAAGAAAGGATGCCAGACACAAGTGGCTCACGCCTATAATCCTAGCTACTAAGGAGGATGAGATCTGAGGATCTCCATTCAAAGCCAGCCCCAGCAGACAAATATGAAAGACTTCATTAACTAGCAAAAAGCTGAAATTAGAGGCATGCCTTAAACGATACAGCTCTAGCTGTAAGTGGAAAAGCTAAGCCAGAAGTCAAGCCCCAGTACTAACAAAGAAAAAGTTTGTGTATTCTATAGCTGAAACTTTAAAATAAATTTATTTATACATGAACTGGGTACTGGGGCTTGAACTCATGACCTGAGTCTTAGCTTTTTCACTCAAGGCTTGGCACTATACCACCTGGGCCACAGCTCCACTTCCAGCTTGTTGCTGTTTAATATAGTTAAAGATAAGAGTCTTCCAGACTTCCCTCCTAGGCTACCTCAGAACCATGATCCTCAGATCTTAGCATCTTTAGTAGCTAGGATACAGGAATAAGCCACCAGCACCTTGTTTTAAAATTTATTTTAATTAACACTGCCATTTTAACAGAGCAGTGGCATTAGGTCAATTGGCATTGTTATACAAGCTCATCAACATTCACCTCCAGAATTTTTTCCCTTTTGGAAAACTGGCAAGCATTTAAAAAAAAGTGTCCCTTTTCCATATATCTTGTTTGTTCTTTCCTATGCTTCCGGTCTTCCCTGTTCTTTTACTTCTGCTAAATCATATCCAATCTCAGCCTTCTGATTAATTTTCTTATGAACTTTCAGACAAAGCCACTTGATTCCAGGCAGTTACTATTTGCTGAATGTTTAAATTCTGTTCCAGCAAAGTATTTGGTGGTTGTTATTACCTCACCTGGGATTAAGAGCTGATGTCAGATGCAACAGTGTACCCACTCCTGTCCCTACTACTGGGGAAATATGTTTTCCCCTATTGCAGGTATGACACATCAGTCCTGGAAGTTCTTTGGATAATATAAATAGTTTCGCTGACGCAGACAACTTGGCTTCATTTTGTAGTCTCTGATCTTCCATTCTTTGCTCATCACTTTTCCAGAGTAAATTTAATTAACTTTTTGCTCAGTCAGCATCTGATATGTCCCTAGCTACCTGAAGCTTTTAATTGGGCCTGGAGTAATTTGGAGCCCAAGTTGAAGGTGCCAAGACACCTGACTGTATCATCTTAGAGTTTTGCAAATAAACAACAATAACAACAACAAAAAAGTTTTCAGGTAGAATCTAATTTGACCCCTTAATGGAAGTTTTATGAATAAATTAGTTATCTGCGCTTAGTATGTGCCCCTTTCTTTTTAGCTGGCTTGACTTTAACTTCTTCACTTTTTCCTGGTGGCTGAAATCACTTCTAGTGTGTCTTTCTAGGAAAGAAACCAAGAGGGATTTGACTCAATGTATACATTTTAAAGCTATCTCAAACCAGGATGATCACTGTGATTGGGGGCATTGTTGTTTGTCTGTCTCTGTGCTGGTAATGGGGCTTAATCTTAAAGCCTTGGCACTGTCCCTCAGCTTTTTCACTCAAGGCTAGCACCCTACCACTTGAGTGCTTCACTCCAAGCTTTTTGGTGGTTTATTGGAAATAAGGTCTCATGGACTTTTCTGCTTGGGTTGGCTTCAAACCTCAATCCTCAGATCTCAGCTTCCTGATTAGCAAGGTGTGAGCCACTGGCACCTAGGAATTTTAATCTGAGTGTTAATTTCTCATCTGTTAAGAACGCTCACAGTTTATGGAGGGGAGTTTAAGTGAGAGAATTTATATGAAGTAACTAACCAAATACTTGGCACTTGGTGGCCTCACAACAGATGTGAATTCATCTTCTCAAGATTTGGCTTATTCTTGTTATGTGATCACAAATGAGCTTGTTGGAAATGTCTGCCAAATCCAGATCACTAGCCTGTGGTAATGTGAGACTTCTTACTTTCTCAGTATCTCATCTGACCATATGAACTGCTGGTCTGTTTTCGCATTTGCTAACTTTGGCACTTCTTGGTATGTGTCCTGCTTTCCTAGATTGTGAAGATCTATTTTGTTTCTATCCCCTGATGATTATAGGATTTTTAGGGTGTGTTTGGACATCCTAGATGTCTTATCTTACAGTCCAAAATAGGTGCTACTCCAATTAGATCACTTGGCACATTTAAAAACAGTCTAGTTCTTGAGTGGAGGGCAACTGTAGCTTTTTACTCCTCAGACCTAGCAAGTACAGTGCCTAGAATATGTCAGAATATATTAGTCATTTAATAGATACATATATGAAGCAGTGAATAAGTATGTGGCCCAAGGGCCATTGTAGGGCATCTAGTCCCAAATTAGGTAATCAAGGATACAGAAATATATCACACCTTTGGTATAGCTTGTTTTTTAAGACAAATCATTATTTTACTTTGATTAGGATAGGTTAGTTATACAAGGAGGGGTTTCATTGTGACATTTCCACACCTGTATGCAATGTATTCTAGTCAATCTCACTCCTCCATCATTTCCCCCTTCTTTGCCTTTCCCAATTTCAAGATGTTTTATGGTGCTATTTTCATACATGCAAACTATATACTTCAATCATATCCACCATCAGTCATGCTCTTTGTCACCTTCCTGCTATTAACTATCAGGCCAATAGAACCCATTTCTCTTTCCCCACTCTGTAACCCCCTATTTATCAACAGGACAAAGCTTGATTTTATTTTTATTAATTTGTTTATGTTTAGCTTGAATGCAGGGCCTGGGCACTATCCCTTAGATTTTTCACCGAAGGCTGGCCCTCTACCACTTGAGCCATATCTCCCCTTTTGGCTTTGTGTTATTTAATTGATGATAAGAGTCTCACAAACTTTCTTGCCTTGGCTGGCTTTGAACCTCAATCCTCAGATTTCAGCCTCCTGAATAGCTAAGATTATAGCTGTGATCCACCAGTGCCCAGCTAAAGCTTTATTTTAAATGAGTGTCTTTTGCTGAAAACCTTTGAATTTCCTTAGAACATTGTACTTAGTAATTAGTTTTATTTGTTTGTTTTATGTTATGTGCCTGATCCTCTAGAGCTCTCACTTAAGATTTAATGTATACAAACTTTTCTTTTGCAGAGGAAAAACTCTTATAATAGAATAAAACTCTAGCCATCTGAAGTATGAATCTGCCCTGGCAGCTGCTGACATTTTCTAAGCACATTGACTATACTGGTCTTTTTGGGGCTCTAGCTTTGTGCATTTCTTCATCACCAGCTGTAGAGAAAGCCCAAGCTTGGGTGTATTTTCATCTTTGCAGTGTATATATAAACCAATTCCCAAATAAGAAGCAGCTGCTTCTCCAGCTAACACCTAGTCTGTTTTAAATGGCAATTGGGTAGAAGCAGAATGGAAACATGAACAGTTCCAAAATAGGGTGTCTTAATTCATTTAGCCTGTGCTTTTTTCCCTCAAGCAGAGGGGCAGAAGTGATACAGACAAATAAGTAAATAAATAAAAGTTACCCACAAGGATTTTTATTGTCACTGAAAAGGCTAGGCCCAAATTTCAAAACAATTCCTGATTTTATCTAATATTGAGCTGCACAGAAGAGAAAGTACATGGTTGGGGCAGAAGGGAAAGATGGAAGGGAAGAGAGGAAACTGGGTGTGGGTCTTGGTAGAGTCTGAGAGAGGCCTTCCAAGGTGGGAGAAGGGGTAGGACTAAGGGGCAGGGGAAGACTGGATGCAATGAGTATTTACAAGACTTGGAGCAGAAGACTGGCCTGGAGTGGCTTGGTGGCCAAAAGGGGACTATGTAATGATTTCTGAAGTATATATCATCATATGCTTTTTTTAATGGGGGGGGGGATCAATTATGAGACTTGAACTCACACTTAGGCTCTGCCCCTGAGCTCTTTTGCTCAAGGCTAGTGCCCTACCACTGAGTCACAGCACCACTTCCAGTTTTTGAGGGGTTAATTGGAGATAAGAGTCTCATGGGGACTTTTCTGCCTGAGCTGGCTTCAAACCATGATCCTCAGATCATAGCCTTCTGATCATAGCTAGGA